AGATGTATTTTTTAAAGAAATCAATAAGGGAAGTTGGACCATTGATCCAATCAGAGGGGACAGGTAACATTAGACCCCGCCTCCTGCAGCAGCAGTATATCAGAAAAGATTTAAAATATAGTCACAATGTTTAGAGAACAATCATTTAAAACAGTGTTATATGTTGTGTCTACTTGGAGGAGGAGGTAAAACCTCTCTATTTAGTTTTTATCTTCTCTTCCTTTATCCCCTCCTTCATTTAACTCCTCCCTTTGCTCTCTCGTCACCCTGACCTGTCTTAACTCCTTTGTTTATATTCATACTCTCCCTTCTTTCAGCCAAAGAATGGGGTGATTAGGTTTGTCAGCGAAGCCTTTCCTCCCCCCTCCGTCTCTGCTCGCGTCCTCTTTTACTCCCCTCTATCAACTCAGAGTCAATTTTGTACATGACTACATCAATTACAATAACAAAACAACCCCCCCAAAAAACTGTAAACTCGATATCTGCAAATATCAGCCATTAATTCATCTTCAAGCACTGAATCCATTGAAATGAATTACTCAAACAAAAGCACGACCTTTTCTCATCTCTGGCTTGTATTTTCTTTCTCTCTCTCCCTCTCCCTCTCCAGGAATAAGGTGATTAACTGGACCAGTGAAGTTTCTGATAGATCGATGCGTAGCTGCAGGCCAGAACAACAAACCTCCTCAGATCTTTGGCTTTGGGAGACTTGCAGGGCTCATGTAGAGGATGTATGTGTGAATATATTTAGCTCGCTGGTGGCTTTACTTGGCTTTTAAATACAGAACAGCACAACCAGTATTTATTCACACAATCTCCTCTGTTACAACACTGCTGCGAGCATTGTTCCGGACAAACAGGACAAGCTCTTTTACTGAAGGCAGGACAATCCAAACCTTAAAGCTTTGACGACATAATGCGCTCTGTATGATTTACGTTTATTTACGAAATCTCCATATCCTCTTCTCCCTCTCTCTCATGTGTGTGCGGGACATCACAGTGTTGCACATCAGGCCTGGCGATACAGTTCTAAAAAGGCTTTAAACACCCCCGCTTCATCTCGTACAGGAACTGAACAATGAATTCTTTGCTTGTCTACACAATGTCGCTTTACATGAGAGGCTTTATGAAGCATTTCTAACACCTGAACGCCGGGTTCAACAGCCTCACTTTCTGATGCAACTCTTGTGCACAGCTTTCACTGCTGAAACTCTAGCAGCTACTTTTTCCTTGTGCAGAACAAAGATGCTCCATATGCCAGATTTTAGCATCTCTGCATCGGCTGTCAGTTGGATTTAATGCAGTGAGTTCAGCACAGACTTATACTCCCACTGTGCTCAGAAATGATAGTCTTTAGAATTAATCTTTTAGAGCAACTCATTGATCATCAATCACCAGTCATGTTGAATACCAGACAAATTTAACACGTTTTTCTTTGTCACTTGTCAGCCAATATGTGGGATTCTCTATTTGCCCAGGTGCCTTTAGGCCCATGTAGTCACTTTCACACCTTCCATTTACTCAGTAACCTTTTGACCCTATTGATCGATGCCTTTCTGTACCTCACACCTCTTGTTTGCTGTAGCTTGTGCTGACCATCCAGTTTGCTCTCACCATCTGTTACACGTTATCTCTGTTTCAAGGTCGATTAGTAGCCTCAGCACTGTTTTTTTTCTTCTGCACTTCCACAGAAGACTGTGTAACCTCTTTTGCTCTGTAACACATAATCAGACTGTGTGCGTTTCACAGATGCCAAACTACTGGACACAACCTGAGCTAAGCACTGAGACACAACTCTAGACTTGTCATTGTCTCAGCAATACAAACACCTGGGAAAGCTGGTGATTATACAGACAGAAGAAAGTAAACTGAGTGGACAATACCACAGTAAAAACAATTATTCTGAAAAGTCAGGTTTTAGTTTCTTTAACTAAAGTTGGGCAACATGACGTGTTTTGACCCTTGTCATAGTGTCCTTGTGGCCATTAAACTAAAAAAATAAATCTACCTCTTTCACTTCAAGACCAAGAAACGTGTTCAGTCGAGGGGGATTCAATTTATGATATCAAACACCAGTTTTAACACAAGCTATTATTTACATTTTTTAGTACCTGCCATCCAATGCCAGTTTTCAGAATGTTAAATGGAAAGCAATATTCTGACTGCTGACATTATTCTGAATAAGAATATTAAGAATATACCTTCCATATTCCTGTTTACATGTTACAGAGTAGATCAGGTCAACATAACATCCTACTACGTATTTACACTGGAACCCAAGGCAGACATGTCATATGTTGATGTCACAAAATGCTCCAACAGGACATACTGTATTAAAGCAGTCAAGACATGGACAGGTCTATATACAGGTCATAATATTGGTGTCCATGTAAACATTCCATTACACTGTATCATCAATTACTGCTAATGCAAATCAAACCCATTCCACTGCTGCTACTCCACATTACAGGTGCTCAGCTGGTGAAAGGTGTCTTGAGGAAATGTTTTCACCCTGTCCATTGGTTGGTTGGTTTGTTAACAGGATGACACAAAATCCACTAAGAGGTTTTCCATAAAACGTGGTGGAGGATTGGGGTACGGGCAGAGAAAGATCCCATTCAGGTTTGGCACAGATCCAGACAAAGGGGCAGATTAAGGACATTTTAATAAATTTCTTCCATTACAAGAGTATTTTGATATTTTCACTTCCCACGGAATAATAAAGATCTAGATGAAAAAATCAGGCATAATTAGGGATCTGTGGACTTTGGTGCAGCTTGTTTGAATTTAAGAGGACTGTAAGGTTGTATGCTGTTCTGAGTGTCAGTAGTTTGAAATTATGTTTGCTAGCGTGGAGTTTTCTTCTTCAAGGCATTTAGATGGTGCAGTATGATTGCACTAAAATTAGCATGAAACTATCTATCTATTACATGTGCTATCTCATGTGCATGCATGTGACACAAAAGAAAAGGGGACCCACCCACTTAAGATAGTCTTCTATAGTGGCAACTAGTGGTCAAAAAACCCACAGGGTACCTTTAACAAGACTATTACTGTACCTAAACCTCACCTTTTAGGTTTAATGTTTAATGTTTTGTATACAGTACATGTACTGCACATGCATGGAAACACCTCAGCACACCTTCCTAAAAATGTTCACAGCTGACTGGGCCACAGAGAGCAGGAGACGTGACCATGAGTGTGGGACATATTTTACCAGCTGCAACTCTGCTTCATATAAAGACAGAGCTTTTAAGCTTGACTTTGCTCTGACCAAGGTGATCTGTCATCAGAGAGCAGAGAGGAGAAGGCAGCGCGATAGAGAGACAAAGGACAGTGCTGCAGCAGTAATTGGGTTGCTGTTTTTCTGTCAGTTTCTAAAGTCATTAGGAACATCTCTCTCTTCCATGCTATCCCTCGTTTCCTCTCCTCTTTTTCCCTCTCTCCTCCATCCCTCTTGCCTCTGCTCCTTCTTTCAATTCCCTCCTCTCCTACGTCTCTTTGCTCTGTGCCAAAAACATATTCATCATACTCTTCTGCTGCCCTCACAGCACTGTGCCACAGCATACTAATGACAGTGTGTGTCTGTGTGTGTGTCTGTGTGTGTGTCTGTGTGTGTGTCTGTGTCTGTGTGTGTGTGTGTGTGTGTGAAAGAGAGACAGCAAGAGAGTGAGAAAGAGAGAGAGAGAGAGGCTGTCAGCATATGTTTATGTGTTTGCTGGCATAAATGCTTGTGAGTAGGCCATAAGTCTGCTTGTGTACACTCTATATGCTTACATATGTATATGGTGCATGTGTGTAATACATTCTCAACACGTCTGTGTATTAGATTATGAATGTGTGTGTTTGCTGTTGTGCTTTACTTCAGGCTATAAAAGCTTGATAATGCACCATGCAGTCATTTGCTATAAGCCTGTTAACAGCACACACAGACACTGAATTCACGTCTGTTCTCGTCTCTCTCAACCCATCTCTTTGTCCCTCGCTCTGTCTTCTTGTTTTCATCTCTCTTTATCTTTGCATCACGTCTGCGTTATCAGTCTGTCTCGTCTGTCTTTGTCTTTCACTTTCCTTCTTTGTCCCAGTGACTTACTCAAGTCTTTTTGTTCCATCTCACTTTGCTCTCTGTTTATTTTAATCACACTCCAGCTCTGTCTTGCACAGTCACACGAGAAGAAAGATATGGACATTGAGGTGAAAATACAGAGAGAGAATGAGGTGGTGTAACAGACTTATTCACATAAACGCAGAAGAGACACCGTGAAAAAACGTTCTAATCCTGTGTGTGTGTTTATCTTCGGAAATGGTGCAGGGCAATAAATCAATAGTTATTGCAGTATAATTTTCATCAAAAGCAATATAACAAATGTCCAATGTATATAGATATAATGCTTTTGCATTGTGTAAACACAGTGAGGAGGGATGAGACATAATTCTACATTAGTTTTGTAAAATCTTTTGCTGTTTATCAAGTTTTTGTCATTCTCTGCTCATAAGGAAGAGTTTAAAACCACATCCAAAAATCAGTCATTCAATTTAAAAGAAATAATAATCCAACATGTATTAATTATTGATATTGACAAATGTGAAAATGTTCATATCGATGTAGTTATTTGGCCATATTGCCCTGCCCTACTTCAGAGTCCAAAAATGGTTTTGACAAAGTCTACATTTTAAAATTCCTCTATATTTGACTTATCTCAAACTCTGGGGCAAATACAAAGTGTATCCAGTCAGATAAGAGTTATGGCAACCAGCCATCCCATCAAATAGAGCTGTGGTTTGAAAGAGCAGAGTGACAGTGGAATATCAGTTGTTTTAACCTGATTCTCACCCAAGATTAAAATGTTCATCTCTAAAGTTGACTTATAAACATATTTAAAACAGTTGTATAACCTCCAGAAAAATAACTGTTATGAATGAGGATATATGTGATGTTTGTGTCTTTGTTTTGAACATCAGCTAAGTGTAGTGACAGAGCTGGAGATGATGCACAATATTTAGCAAAAATGTTAAACGTATTCTTTGACGCAAAACCATCATGAATCATATGACTTGTATTTTTGTAGCCCGGCTAATCCTCTCCATCAGTTAGGAAACTGTCACTCAAAAATATATTCAGCATGGCATTCAGACGGCTTGTGAGCAAACCCACCAGATTAACATTATTTTTTTCATTTAGGTTAAAGTTGAACAGTCTGTTTAGGTTTTTATAACTGTTTATTTGATGTATTTTCATTGTTTAGAACCTCTGATCACTTGACTGCTTGTGTTTGCTGGAGTTATTTCTAGCAATGTCACCACGTTTCCACCTCTCTTCAGTGACCACAGTGTAATGGAAGTGAGCGTTTACTGTGATGTGAGGGATTTCCATGGGGGTCTAGTTACAGGAGGCCTTAAAAAGAAATCCTTGCGATGTGATTGGACGACTCTGAAGTGGTCACCTACTCCTCTGTCAAAAGCAGTGGACCTCAAAGACTTTCTGTGATGATGCAAAAAGTTTTTACCATTAACATCCAAACGCACATCTCCTAAAACAATACGACCTGGCTCTGCTAGCAACTCTGCTTGCACAGTCAGGTGTGGCTCTACATGAGGGGCAGGGCTGTTTAGTACCCAAAATCGAAGCTGATTTTAATAACCTTTGTTATGCCCTCTAATTTAAGATGAGTCATCAGAAATGTCTTCAGGATCTCTAACTCTTACAGTTTTAAAGGATACGAACATTTTAGAAATGAATGAAACACTGTGTCTTTGAGGAGGGATGATATTATTGTGACAAAACAGGAAAAAGAGAAAAAAAATCCTTTCTGACAGAGAAGTGAGATACGGAGAGAAAAGACGAAGACAAATGAAGTGTATCCTATTTCATCCTGTCTATTCATCCTAATACAAAGTGTAATTATATTTAAGTAGTA